GTCTGTCACCAAGCAAGGAGCTGGGTGTGGGAGGGACCGGTACAGCACCTTGAAAAGTCCTCGGTTTCTTCCAAAGAAAGCCTCTTCCCTCTGTGCATTTAAGCATGTGTTTGCACCTCCTTCTACCTGAGGCCTTTGGCTGAGTCTGGCCGAAGCGGGGTGCTCTGTGCTGTTGGTTTGCTGGGGCCGCTGAACCGAGCAGCTCACGCAACAGAAATGTGCCACCTCCTGGTTCTGCAGGCTGCAGGTCTGCGAGCAAAGGGTCTCCGTGTTGGTTCCTTCTGAGGCAGAGCAGAACTGGTGCGGTGCCGCTCTCCTAGCTTTTGGTGGCTTGCTGGCAACAGCTGGCACTCTACACACATCATCATCTTCCCTCTGTACTTTTCTATCTCTGGGTACAAACTTCCCCATTTTCTAAGGACAACCAGTCATGTTGGAATAGGGCCCATCCTCAGTGACTTCTAAACCCGATCATCTGTAAAGACCCTACTCCCAAAAGAGGTCACCTTCACTGGTCCTGGAGATTAGCAAGGACTTCAATGTCTCTATTCTGGGAGGAGGGGGAGACACAATTCAAGCCATAACAGGGGGTGTTACATGGCACGGTTCATTCAATTACCAGTTTTTGTGATAACAAGGAAGGATTTTTCCCCAAGTGAATTAAAATATTTGCATAATGAGGACGAGAGCGGACAGTAAGCCACACTGGGGAGAGTAGGTGCCTCCAAGGCTTTATGAACTTTAGGACACCTGTCCCCTAGGGGCACCAAAGTGTTTGTTCATGAATCGTAGACTTCCATCTTACAGTGAAGGGCTCATTTGCACATCCCTCTGGGGGTGGATTGTGTGTGCAGTTCATTCCAGTATTGATTTTATCTCCAAGATAACCCCTTCCTGGGAAGCCTAATTTCATCTCAAAGATAACACACTTCCTGGGAAGTGTGTGACACTTGATCTCGGGGTTGTGAGTTTGAGCCCCATGTTGGGTGCAGAGATTACTTAAAAATAAAATCCTTTATTAAAAAGGAAAAGAAAATCCCTTCCTCTCTGGTGCATTTGTTTCCCAAATTTTAACATTTAT